AAATTCTCTGGGTTTGTTTTATGTAAGATTGAAAATTTCTTGGGATATAGGCTATAAACATCTGGTATGCAGGGATTTCTAAATGTAATGTGATATAAAACCAATGAAATGCCCGGCTGGCGTGGCTCAGTGGTTGAGGGTCGACCTATGAACTAGAAGGTCATGATTCAATTCCCAGTCAGGGCACATGCCCAGGTTTCAGGCTCAATCCCCAGTGGGGGGCGTGCAGGAAGCCAGCAGCTGATCAATTATTCTCTCTCATCATTGCTGTTTCTATCTCTCTCTCCCTCTCCCTTCCTCTCTGAAATCAATAAAAATATATTTCAAAAAAAACTACCAATGAAATAAGATTACACATAAACATACAATGCCTTGTATGAATTAGTTAGTTCTTGTGTAAATCAGACAATACTATAAACCAGAGAAATTGTTCCATGTCAACTTTTTAGGTAGTTAAAAAAAAAATCTTTGGTTATTCTTGATATTATTTGAATTGTGTTTGGGGACATTTTTAATTGCCTTTGGAAAGTTAAACTAATAAAATACTGAGTTAATGAATATTTCTGTTAGTTAATGATCATATATGGCATTTTGTTTATATGAAATTCTGAGATAGTGTCTAGTGTTCCCCTGGAGGGAAGCTAGAAGTTTTTTCTTTTTAGGCCACTGGGGTGCTAGTAAAATTGACATGGGGTAGTCTGGACTTGCATATTCAGGAACCAACTCCAGATGTATAAGCAGAGGGTAATAAAATAAATACATGCTTTAATAGGGCAATATATAGCATAGCACATTAAAATCTGTTATGGGAAAAAAATTGTTTTCCTATAAGAAGAAGATGAAAAGAAGTCTAACTATATCAGAAATTACTATGACTCCAGGAATTTTACTTTCACTCTGCCTGAAAAGAAATTCTATCCAAGGGCTCATGTAGAGCAATGTAAATTATATCCCTAGGACCCTGTCTTGGTATCTAATATTATTCTTCCACTTCTGAGACAATTTTAATTCCTAATTCTCCATTGGGACACATATCTGTCTTATCCTCTGATTGAGGTATGCCCCCAGGCTCTCTCATCTTAGTTACCAAACTATGATGAAAGCCCCCCTTTTTTAAAAGATTTTTTATTTTATTGGTTTTTTAGTGAGTGAAGAGAGAAACATTGATGAGAGAGAGTAACATCAATTGGTTGCCTCCTGTAGGCTCCCTACCAGGGACTGAGCCAGGAACCCAGGCATCTGCCCTGACCGGGAGTCAAACCAGCAGCCCTTTGGTACATGAGCAGATGCCCAACCAACTGAGCCACCCTGGCCAGGGCTGATGAAAACACTTTTAATGTTAAATTTGTGACCAAATCTACCTTCCTTGAGGATTAAATGACTTTATATATTTTTTAGAAAGCTGTTCCAGAGTTTCATGAAATCCTCTGTAGATTCTAGTTTCCTGGACTCAGATGTTGTTAAATTA